AAAACCAGGATGTTTATGTTGTTGTCCTTAACTTAAATTCATTTTAAAAATATATCTTTATACAAAATAGGTAAATATAATATAATTAATTTCCAAAAATTAAATTATTTGAATTCCTTTATACATTATTAGTGCAACTCCTTTTACTCAATTAATATATCCTGTATTTCACATTAAAAAAACTTTACTGAACTGACAGAATTAATTACTTAAATAATATTATGGGAGAGTGAGAATAGTTAATACAATTTGAAAATTTGTATTATTTTTATAATGGCCGTAAGTTTATTTTTTAGGGTTATATCCTATTCAGTAGCCAATTTTTACTAATATTTATATTTTTTTTTTTACACAATATATAGTATTAAATTTGTTTATTTAAAATTTTACAACTAGCAACATGGCGTGATGAGTAGTTACATTCTATGGGTTAGTTGTTACACTATAAAATACGTTTAAATGCTTACTTTAATCATGTACCGATATAGCGAAAAATAGATTGTATTTAACAAATTATAATCAATAGTAATGACTTAAAAATCCAATGTAAAAATGTTTTAAAAACCTTGTGTTATTTTTTTTAATAAATATTTATTTAGCAAACGAACAACTGTCTAATACTATTTAAAAAATAACATTTTAACAATCTTGTAACGGTTAAAACTTCTCTCATCAGGTTTAATTACAAAATTTATACTCTCTCTCTCTTCTAACCGTATTTTTTATCTAGATAACATTATATGGTTCTATACATTTTTTTATTTAAATTGGGTAAAAATATAAAATAATATTTCGTGGAGCACAATGCCTGTATGTAATCGAACGTTTAAATTTATTTTAATTTTAATAATTTGTAAAACTTATTTTAAACTTTTCATTGTAAAATCTATTTAGCTGAAAAAATGTAATTCGCAGTGGCATGAAAGTAATAAAAATGTATTCGGACAAAATTAATTCCTAGAGACCGGAATAGCTATACACAGGCCATTTCGTGCCCAAAGTTATGGTTATCATAGATTTTTATTTCTGTAATCAAGTACTTGTTCGGTTTAGAAATTAAACATTCTCCCCAAAATTTATCCAAACTAAATTAGCTGCACGCCTAACTTTTAAAATAAGTGTCGGACCAAATTCCGGCTTTAGCTTGGAATTCGGCACCACTGGTAATAGGTACTTACAATTTACCTTAGCTTCCAAAAGCCGCGTTTTGAAATAAGGTGAATAATTATTTAAACACATGTCTGTGAATGCTTCCCTACTAATACAATT